CCGGGTGGCGGCCCGCAGGCTCTGGTGTGCTGCCTGTCGCTGCTGTGCGGCCTGGCGGTACCTTGGCCTCTCTGTGCCTGGCTCCTCGCCCGTAGAACAAGGGCATGGCGTCTTCAGGGCTGCTGTGGACTTAACTAAACAAGCTGCCACATGCGAAGCGCTTGGGGGCGCCAGGCCTGTGGTGACACAGAGACCTTAGTCGTTGGTGGCGTCCGGTCGCCATCTTTCAGCGGCCGAAAGGTGTTGGCTCTCCTTGTCCTCCGCAGTCAGCCCCATGTCGGGGGTGGCTGTGGCTGCAGCAGTGGCCTGTTTGTTTGTAAATGACATGCTTCATCTTTGTCCAGGGCGACAGGAAACTGTTTGATAAGTAACTTTCCAGAGCAGTAAGTTACTCCGTGGTGTGAAAGTGTTCACATACCGCCAAAAGGAATTGCATGCTTGGCTGGCGAGTGTTTCCCAAGGGCAGACACCTGCTCCGCGGGGTCTTTGTTCTCGTCTTGACCCTGTGGCCTCAGTCAGGGGCCAGTTTCCTCACTTCTGAAGCTGGAGCAGCAGTCAGCATCATCTCCGGTCCTGCGCGGTGCTTGGCAGATGCTAGGGTTCTTCTCATAAACATGACCTGCTTCCACCCTTGTCTCAGTCCTGCTGGTGGGTGTTCTGACCGTGGGAGGGTGGAGGCTCACAGACTGGCCACCTGCTCACTGCAGAAGGCCAGCACCGGGCAGAGCTGGGGCTGTGGGATGGCTTCCGTCCCGCAGGCCTCGGGGATTTGGTAAAACTGTAAGCCAGCAGGGTGGTTCATGCTCTTTGGATGAGTTCAAACACAAATGCAGAAGGACTAAGAAGTTGGATTAAGATACAGTTGAAATAAATACATAATAGACATGTAGGTACATCTGTATGGAAACCTCAGAAACCCTTGGGGAAGAGGCGACGTGAGGAGGTCCATGCACGGCAGAGTGGTGGGCGGAGCTGCTGACCCTCACAGGAGCCTTTAGGCTGCTCCATGACTGGTCACCAGCCCAGCTACCTCTGCCCGCACCTGCCCGTTTGTCTCGGGGCAGCGAGTGGCCAGACCCCAGGAGCTCACGTCTGCCATTTTCAGCTCTGCCTTACACATCTCAGTCCCTTACAGAGCGTGCAGTTTTGGAGGAGGATGGGAGTGGAGGACTGCATCTTCTGTTGTGTTCTTAAATATTTCTGAAACTAGTATGATTGGTGCATACGTAGGAAATTGTGCTTCGTTGCTGAGAGTTTTAGATGAAATGAGCAGAAGCGGTTCTCCAGATGCCCGGGGAAGGTGTTTCCCTTTGTCGTCACCAGTTACGTGTAAAGACTTATTGAGCATAAGTGGTATGCGTGCTTCTCATTCCTTTACTCTTGACTTCCTTTGCTTGAAAGAAATATTTCAGTTTCACAAAAATAGCTTTTTTTCCTAAACAGGTGCAAACAATTCCCCTTCCCAAATCCCTGTTTGTGGAATTCTCGTGGATTTTGCAACAGCCTCACACCGTCAGAAGAGCCGGACTCAGGCACTTAAGCAAAAGTAGGTGGACTGGGAAATTTGCAGAAGGTGTGATTAGTTTTAAAATGCTTCTCTTCAACGTACCTTTGAAAGTTAGCTGATGGGCAGGCAGGGTCTTTAATTTGTGCTGCGTCTCCCTGTGCCCGTGTGGTGTTATTGCTGTGGGTGTGCAGTGTTGCACAAAGACATGTGGCCCTAACGTTGTATCAGTTTCAGGGGCCCTGGGAGCCCCACCTGTCACGGCTGCAGCAGAGTTGCAGTCAGGTGGTCACAGGGCTGGCGGCCGGGCCTGACCCCCTGCAGGTGCCACTGCCTCTCGAGGCGTGGTTGGCATTGCTCAGGGTTTGAACAGCCCTGTGAGCCCTGCTGCTTCTCGGACGTGCAGCTGGAGAATTCTCAGGCGAGAGTCCCAGGTGGGCCATGCGGCCCAAGTGCCCCGGACACCATGCCCGTATTGATGTCCTTAGGTCCTTGTGTAGACGACCACAGGCTCGAGTCAGCCTCTGGGGTTGAGGGAGCTGAGTGTGAACCACGAGAGCTGTTCCTCCACGTGTCAGAGTCCAAGCTTGCCTTACTGTGAACTCAGAAATTTGTAGCATTCATAGATTCGTGGAAGTGAAGTTCTCAGTCGGTGATCTAGGACTGAGTGTTGGGTCTAGTGCAGATTCGATGGAGGAGTGGAGCTGTAGGTTCACAGAGGCCAAAGCAAAACCAGAGCATGACTGCTGGGGAGAAGGCGTCCACACTGACTGGAACTTGGGGGTTTCTCCTCGCCGTGCCCCCCAGGTCTCCTGCCCACTAACCATCTGCAGCAGCAAAGCTCTCAGTGTTGGTATCAAGTGAA